GAGCGTCGCCCCAAAGTCTGGAAAGACGCTCGAACGCCTCTCTAAGGCGGAGAAGAGATCTCTACGGCGAAATTGCAGTTTTTTAATTATCGTTCGAATTGTTCAATGGCTAATTTTTCGACAATTACAACTTCAGTTTGATAACAAAAACAAAAAAAAAACAAAAAAAGACGCGACAAAAACTGAGCAACAATAGTTACTTCTAAATATCGATAAACGATGCAAATTGAATTTTCAGAGCCGTGTGTTTTAAAAGCGAGTCAAACGAGCGGCAGTTAACGTACCTAGCGGTGGTGGTGAAGTGTGCGGAGCGATTTCGTGTGTTAGCGTTCGCGAGAGAGAGGAAACGCTGAAACAAGCACGTTTCCCCGGAGCGCGGAGCAGCAATAAAACGACGGACGGGCTACGCCCGTGGAGCAAAACCAACGAAAAGGAACTGTGAATGGCCGCGATGCATTAAACATTCTCGCCTAGCGTTTCTCGACAGCGTCGTTCACTTCTCGTCGACATTTCGTTAGGGCGACGCGCCTCCTCAATATTCTCCTCGTATAAACGCGCACGACAGCCGAAACTCTCTCTCTCTCTCTCTCTCAAAAATTGTTCGAGACACAATTTGATTATGTGTTTGTGACGAGGAGATTCTCATTAATTTAACAACGTTGTTACCTCGCGACGATGATCGTTCTCTCTCGATGCATCCGAGCCGCACGCAATACGCGCTGCACGCTTGTGCCGATTGTATATGTATCTGCGCACGATGATCGGCATTAAAATTTCATCTTCGCAATTAGATCGATTTAATCGTACGCGATGGTTAGTGAACCCACCTCGTGCTCACAATTGCGATTTAATTTTTCATAGCTGATGATTTTTCACGCTTCGTTTTTTTTTTGCACCTAAACTTTTTTTAAAATTTAGTTGCACATTTGTTTTATAAGAAAAAATCAATTTGTTATTCGCAAAACTAACACTCGTGTAAAATACTACACTCGAATCTGACGAGAAGCGCGAGCTGATAATTAATTAGAATTTCAATTAATAAATTTTTATAAGCTTCAAGTTTTAGTGACTTTGTGCTTTGAAGATACTTCAAAAAACACCTTCGTCTCGATGATGTTAATGACATTGTTAACTTTTTCTCCGGGGAGTGATTTTATCGCCGTTGGGCAATAGACGCGCGACGCGCACGTGTCTCCGGCGCGGTGCGCGTCGACGCTACCGCGTAATCGTAACGCCGCGCTTTACGAGCGGTTTATCGCGCGCGCGTGACTTCGCGTCGATTCGCCGTGATTTAAGGGGTGGCTCTCGCGGGAGGATATTGCCGACGGATCTCTCTCTCTCTCTCTCTTTCTCTCTATCTCTCTCTATCCGAGACTGTCTGGTCTCCCCGCGTGCGTGTTGATCTCGCACGTTCTCGCAGGATGCACGAGCTGCAATATCGGTTTAACGACGTCGGCGGAGGACGGAAGAATGTCCTCCTCGAGAAAACCGTCGGCGGGGAAAACTATAAAGAACGACGATATACTGCTCGCGCTATTTGAATTTTCCACGGTCCGATGACTTTCATTTGCGCGTCGATAGTATTTTCTCATTTCTGTTGTCGGGAGGTTGTAGATGTTAATTTTCGCGCGAGCGAGTTTTATGGGAATCTTACGCGAAAAATCCATTTACGAAGGCGGCAGTTGATATATCGGAGCGTACAGTCGGTTGTTCGAGGATCGGGCAAACCGGGTGAAACCGCGTATATTTTCCATGAATAAATCAACCGACTTTATTGGAGCGAGTGATCTGAAATACACCTCGAGCGAATAATCCACTTCTATCGCGGATCTCGCCAGCGGGCGCCGGTGGCGTTCGCCATCGTCTTATCTGAGGAATGCGATGAGAACGAGCCGCGAAAATAGAAAAGATGCCGCGACGTACTTAGCGCCGCCGTGGATTGAAGCGACGCCCGTCTGGCGTGCTATTTTAATGCGGAAAGATGATCGATTAAGTATTCCACGTGCGGCGAGAGACCACGGCGTGCGCGGTCGTAATTGAACGCAAGTCTCGCGATTTTTCACGCATCGCGAAACTCGAGAGTATCGTGTCTTGAAAATACCGTAAAGAGAATTCCGTGATCCAGCGTGAGGAAGAAGAAAAGAGGAATTTGTTTCATCGCTCTCTCTCTCTCTCTCTCTCTCCGAGATTCCTGCACCGATCTCCCGGTAATAGATTTCCAAAAAAGAAAAAAAAACAAAAACAAAATAGTAATAGATCTCAAACTGAGAAAAGCAAAGAAATTTCATTAAGATCGTAAATTAAGGTTCAATACAAATTAGTGTTAAATGTCTTGTAAAAATTCTTAATTTTTCTAATCTGGTTTTTACACAATAGACGTTAATTTCGATCCTTCGTAATGAGATCAATCTTCATCAATATCTTATGGAACTAAATGTAAAAAAAAAAAAACACAAAGACGCACAAAATTGAAACGGAAAGTCGAGAGACTGAAAAATTATTTACTCAGAAATCAGAGAGTTACTTAATTAAACTAGTGATAAAGTTTACAAAGTGTATTGGTTTTTGTAATTTCATTAATCTCTGAAAAGAGATAAGTGCAAAAAAATTCTAATTTTGAAAATGTTTCCATCGGTCAACTTTTCGTACGACGTCGAAAACACCAAAGATCTTAAATTGTACATCTCAACAGAATATAAATAAAAGTGATAATTAGTAATAATAAAGTATTTAATGTTCAAATACCTAAAGCAGAACACAGAGCTCTGTCTGTTGTAACGAAAGACCGTACACACGCGTGCGTCTTGCTCGGAAGGAACTCTCGCAGAGTTCCCAGATGAATCATTAGCTCTCCGCCGAGGCGAAAATAAAATGATCCCACCTATGCGATAAATCCGCCGCTTTGTATTATAACTCTCGATCTTTTTGCATCGCGCGAGAACAATATATCACTGTATCGATTGTCCGCCCTCGAGCTCTGTACCACAGAAACAAGTACGACAAGAGAGAAGAGAAAGAGAGATCCCGCTATAAAGTTGCGCGCACGAATCCTTCAAGAACCTTCCCGGAGCCCGCCTGTTTCTCTTGTAATCGCGTTTCGCGCGGTTATGCTCGCGCGTGGGCGCGAGGATCAGGTACGAGAAACGGAGAAAACGAGAGGGAGAATCACGACCGCGTGCGTATAATGAGGAGGCAGGAAATATTCGTAGAAACACGAGCTCTACACACGCGAGAAGTCGTATATAAAATATAATATTCATAAATATCTAGGATAAATAGAAGCGAGAAATACGTTTGCATTACGCCGCGCATAAATCGCAAATGAAACAAATACGCAACGTCGTACTTCAAACTTTGTTAGTCGTACTTCGTACCACGTTCCGAAAAGAGAAAATAGATTACGCGCCGTTTAAACTGTCTAGAAACTTTGAGAGTACTGAGACGATGGTCCAACTTACACAGTAAATGTAACAAGGCAATTTAAAAAATTTGCAATTTAAAAAAATTTTTTATATAATATATTTTTATAATATATATTTTTATTATATAATATATATTATATATATATTATAATTTATTATATATTTATAATATTATACCTTATATAGTATTATATGTATTATATATGTATATACTACGATAAAGTCACTGACCTCAGTCACGTGAGTGCGCTGAGGTCATTGACCTCGGTCACGCGACTACGCTGAGGTCACTAACCTTGGTCACGTGATTACAGTATACGTATATTATATATACATATAGATTATATATAATATATATAATATTCTCTTTTTTACTCTTTTCCTTGTTACGTGACCTTACTTTAGTCACGTTTTTAAAGACACGTGACTTTAGTCACATGTTGTTTTTCTACTTTTTCCTCTCTCTCTTTTTCGAGTTATTTTTAATTGTCATGCTTTATTTCTGGCATCTCTCATATGTACATCATGTATATTATATGGTTTGTAGAATGTATATACTGTCATCACGGTAACAAGTTGTGTTCAATACAAACTCTAACACAACACGTTAAAATAAAAATAATAACAGCGTGAGCGTAGCACGTGCCTGTGTTGTGGTAGTTTGTATAAATTTTAAAATTTTTGTGTAGTACAAAAAATTGAAGTTGAAAATTTGTAATACAAAAAATAAACTTTTTCTTGTTTGCAGCGTAGAGATATGCGACACGTGTATCTCGGTGGGTTCGACAGATGTTGAAAACCTCTGGTTCAATTCGTACAAAAAAAAAAAAAATCGTCTTCTTCTCATCCGTTTCAGATAAATGACGGAATAAATTTTGCTAAACCTCGAAGAAGGTTTGTTTCAACAAAATACATCAATTATACAGGCAACATTTTTATGGGGATCTGCATCCCCCGCGATATTGCTCGAGGTATTAAAATTTGTTTTATCACCGGCCGAAAGTGGCGAAATGAAGCCGGGGATTGGTCGTGGTCACGTAAACCGGAAACAAATGGGCGAAATAAATTTTTAAGACAAGGAGATATGTATCGCGTCTTGTTAGTCGTCTCGCAATCGATCTTCTCGCGGCCGCGATTAATGTTTTTCTCGGAACGAAATCCGCGTAGGAGCTCCTGAAAAATTTACGCACCGCGGGAGACGGCGACCGGGGCGCGCGAAACTCCGGAGAAAGCGAGCGAATATACCAATAAAACCGTGCGTCACGCGCGAGAATATCATCCCGACGAGAGCTGGGATTTCTTCTTCGTGTCGGACTCGCGTTGTATCTCCAATCGATCGCGGGAGCAAAATACGTGAGCGAGCATCCATCATCTCCGCGCTCGATGGGAAAATAAAACGTGGAAAAAAAAGCGGCGTTGAAAATAGTCGGACGATTCGAGTGGTCGTCACACGTCGTTTAAAGCGACTTTTCGCGTTCCGCGTAACGGCGAAAGATCGATTGACTTTTCCGCGAGATGAAAAGTGAGATCGATCTCCCATCTTGTCTTCGAGATCGAGAGGATAATGTGCGAGCTTACCTTCGAGATTCGCCATGGAGAACCTGTAGCTGTCGATCCTCGGCGTGTTGATGTCCGAGTTAAAGGGCCTGAGGGTCGCCGAGCTTACATTGTCAAGACCCTAGAACACGAAATAGCAAATAGGATAAATTTAATCCTTAACGCCATCTCGGAAAATTGTTGATTCTTATACGATCGTCAAATAATAATAATAATAAATAACATTTTGCGGTTTCAATAAAGCGGGATATGGATCTGACTTGTCGGCGCGGAAAACGTAATATCGTATAGCGGAAAAACGTATAAGCTCTCGCATATATTCGCGCTGAATCCGTGTGAAAAGTAACCTCCTTCCTCTCAGCGTATCTTCTTCCCGAGAGTTCAAGTCGATCCGTAATCCGTTCGGGGATCCCTTTACGTTTTCCAACCCCAACTGCGAATGAGATTTGTACGGAACCGTCGGATTCGTTCGACCAATTTCCGACGAATAATTCCTAATAAACGGCGGTATAAGAGAAGGAAATGGATTTTACGATTTCAGGTTGTATCTGAGGTCGCGTAAAACGGGATTTCACAAAGGCTTTTTTTTTTTTGCAGAATTTCGTCTGTTTTCTCGCACCCCGTCGTTTTCGATAAAGAATTCAATTTCGATTCTCTTAGCTTCGATAATTTTGTTATTTAATAAAATATAGATTAAAAATTTTCAAAACTATTTTAAATATTTAAAACAATATTAAAATATTTAAAAATACGATGGTTTGATTGAAACATTTTTAAAATTTTTTAATCCCCGGCTTATGTTTTCCCCACAGCTTTCGCGGTTGATATTTTGTAAAACACTTTTCAGTGTTTTTTTTTATTTTTAAACTAATCTGGACGCAAGATACATGCATATTTACACACGCATATAATGTTCCGAATTGTAATTCATTTTTCACATCTTCCGTAGATAGCATCAGCCATCGTTATGAAAAAAAGAAACGCGTATGTTTCGTGTGTTTTTACTGTGTGAATTAATCAGAAGATTAATCGAGAAACGCGATGCAATCTGCCTCAAAAAATTAGTCAAGCCAATCGTGATAATTAATCTTTAAGAAACTGTAGTGAGTCTTTTATTCGCGTGTAAATAATTGATGCGCTCGCAATGCAACACACGCCCACAATAAAAAGTTTTCTCAAGAGAGAGAAAGAGAGAGAGAGAGAGAGAGAGAGAGAGAGAGAGAGAAATAACGAATATTAATTCGAGATTAATAATCTCGAACATTTTTCTCGTCCAAATTATCTCAGCCAGAACGTCTTTGCGTCTTTCCTTAGACCCAAACGTTTGTGCCAAAGGTTTTAAAACGCTGTGACACGTTCGATACTCACACGACACGTCGTTTACTTATTAAAGGCGCGGATTTTTATTTTCAACAGCCACTTCCGCGAGATAAAAATAATTAGCCTTTGTGTCGACGAGATTGATTGATCCGGGCAACATTTTGCGCGATAACATCACGACTCGCTGTGTTTCTCAGCTTCTAAGGATGGCGCCAACGTGTGTGTGTGTGTCTATGTGTGTGTAATGTGTGTACCTTCTATAATCGTGCTTTTATATACGGACTACCTGGTCGGCGCGCATCGATAACCTTAGAGAGAGGTGTTGTGAACGCTATGGTAAACGACCCGGTGGTCACTACTGGGTCAATGAAGTTTAATGCGCGAACAAGGTAGCTCGATATAATGCAAATAGACCGCAGCGCGCACCGTCTTGACTTGTCAAAGGGAAGGTTGGCTGCGTGTCGCAAATTGTCCAGAAAGATTTGCAAACAGCTGCGGCAGAAGAAGTGCGCGACACAAGTGCACACTGCGCGCTGCGTAATTACAATTGCAAATTGAAGGCTTATCGAAACTCCGCGTGTATATTTCTCAAGCTTCCTTCTCTCTTCCTCTCTTTCTCTCTCTCTCTCTCTCTGTTTTCTCTGTATTCTTTGGTTATCGCTAAATTATACAGAGCTATCTGTATTGAATAAAGGGACATTTCAAGGACTCTTATACTCGTTTATTTTTATCATATCGTCTCTCTTCACGCTCTCGTCGTATAATTTTCGACAGTCACGGAGAATAATTTGTTAAATGTGAATCGTAACTTGCGCAATAATTTTTATTGCGTTTTGATTTGTAAATTTTAATTTAATTTAATTTATTTTATGTTAATTTTATATTAGATGTTATTTGTGAGAATTCCAGAGAAGGATCGAAGGATTTATCTTTTCTTATTAAAAATTGAGAATATCTTCGCGAATTCTGTGATTTAAGATTGACGATTATCATTTCTCGTGATTTAAATAAGCCTTTGTCTCTCATAGAATATAAAATATTAAAAAAAAAAATTAAAGTGTGTGCGAGCTGTAATATTTTCTCAAAAAAGACGTCGCTCCGCGCCCACGCGGTCGCTTTCCAATTTCGAATGTTACGCAACGTCGTTCGATTCTTCCGCACTCATATCACATATTGGCCGATGTGTTCGACGTGGGTGTGGTGAACGACCCGCTAACCATCATTCGGCCCCGACTGGCGCGCAACAATTAGATCCGCACGGATAAGGCCGGCTCTTCCTGTAACGCAAAACCCGTGGATGTTACGTCCGTGTCTCATTTCACGCATATTTACGTATATTATTTTCCGTGCGCTTACGTGAAAAACACCGGGAACACATCTTGAACTCTCAATGTATACAAAAAAGTGCACCCGATAGTTTTTTTTTTTTTTTGTTTTTTTTGGTTTTACTATCACATAACATTTTACACGGCGATCTCATCTTACATGTCTCGTTGACTTTTATTTTATTTTTTCAAGTGTTACGAGCGCCAGTTCGCCTTTTCTGCGATAATATATCTTTACGTCGTAAATCTCCTTTTATTTTACGCTCGAAACCGAGATGTCTTCCTCACTTTTCTCCTCTAAATTCTCTGAAATTCGTACGTTACATGTTTCAACTTAAATATTTTTTTTAATATAAATGCGTAAATATATATATATATATATATATATATATATACATATATATGCATATATGTATGTATACATAT